ACCCTGACACTCAAGACTTATTTGTAAAGAGATTAAAGGCAAGGTGCTTTTATGCTGATTAATTTTTGCTGCAAATGATTCCTCTCAGCTGTTCCCCAAGTGACACAGAATATTAGCAAACAGTAACTGCTGAGGATAATGATGCAGAGATAGACTACCGCTGAGTTAAGTAACAGGGCTTGGGCTGGGGAGGAATCCTTTCACGTGAAGAGTTTTAACTGTGTCCTTACGAGGCCATGAAAGAAAGGGAGACGTGCTGATACGGATTTGCTAGAGAGCTGGAGAAATGAGTCCAGGAAAATAACTGAAGGAAAGGGAATAGAGATTACTTATAAAAGGAAGCTTGGTTTGAAGGCCATAATAGAAGTAAACTCTTTGAGCTCTATGATTTGGAGTGGGGAGGGAGGCTGAAGGCAGGGGAACATAACATGAAGATGCAACAGCCATGAACAGAAGTGGCTGTTTGCTGGGGTGTGGGGAGAATAAAAGAATATTGATCTTTAGGCCTGGATAATAAAGTAGGAATCCTAAAGCATGGATTAGGATTTAGGAATCTTTTTCTTCTTGTGCCATATCCATCATCGGATGTTGGCAATCATGTTGGGGATCCTATTTTTATCAACGGCCACACGAAAAAGTGCTGCTGAGTTTTGTCCAAACCAGTCCCTTAGATTTTGAAACCATGATGTTCTTCTTCTTAAATCCTAATCCATATCAAATGTATTTTCCTAAAGCAGCTACTTCTTAATCTAGGAAGATTACAGGCAACTACAGTGATTGGCCATAGTAGTCCAAAAAAATCCGTTGATATTTCTAGCTGATGTGTCAGGTTAAAAACACAAAAATCAGAATTATATGTCCAGGCCTAAATTCTTTCTCCCAGATGTATTTGGTAGTTGGATGATATAAAATTCAGAAATAAAAGAATGGCCCTCTGGATGTACTTCAACGGTACTCTTTCTCACCATATCCAATCCATTCTTCCCTAAGAACTCACAAAAATATATTTCCCCACTTATTTCTTGGGGGCTTCATAAAGCCATAAGTGGTCTACAATGTAAGTCAAATTGTATTTTTTTTTCCTGAAGGGAACCCAGGAGATTGAGGGTTTATAAGTGTAATTTGGCAGGAAACTACTTGACATATGTTTTGGATTGTTATTGCTGCAGTGTCCCATTTGTGTTATATCTCTGTCATATCCCTTACAATCTTCCATTTTGGATTCAATTTTGTTATATGCCAACCCTCCAAAAAATACAGACATGCTCCTTGTATGCAGGAGAGACTGATGGCTGTTATAGCTCATATAGAGCCTTGGTGCCGCAGCAGACTAAAGTGCTCTTAAGTAGCACCAGCTGCCTGCAATTACTGCAAGTTCAAATCTCACCAGGCTCAAGGTTGACTCAGCCTTCCATCCTTTCGAGGTAGGTAAAATGAGGACCCGGTTTGTGGGGGCAATAAGTTGACTTTGTATTAAAAAAAACACCACTTGGGGAGGGACGAAAGCCCTATTAAGCAGGTATATACAAAAGTATGAAGGCTATTGCTTAACCCATTGTAAGCCGCCCTGAGTCTCCGGAGAAGGGCGGCATATAAATCGAACCAATAAATAAATAAATAAATAAATATGGTAACAGCTAATGCTTAGCTGATAGCTGCTATTGCTGATAGGGTAACCCTTCTTACCCGATGTTCTCAGAGGTTATTCTGGGTCTTCACCCCACATCGTTGGAGTTTCTTTCTCTTTTCTCTTATCTTTTTCCTCTACAAGATAGCAGAGTCCTACGATTATATACCGGAAGGTAGCTCTGAGGACACTTTAGAATTTAAACATGTCAGATGTACATTGTTCTACGCCAGCACAATACTTCACTAATCAACCGCATAACAAATTTGGTATGTAATAAAATTATTTTTTTGAAATGCTTAACAATTTTGAGGGTGCATTTCCTTACAAAAGTGCAAATTTGTGGCAGTCTCAGCTTTGCTACTGTGTAATCTATGAAAAGGCCTTTGAAAGTTCTGTGTGCCTTCCATTCTGCAATATAGAGCTTTAATACTATAGCTAGTGTGTTAGCCTGCTTTTGTAAAGATTTTCTAAAAGTTAATAAAGAATGAATTACCTGTCCGGTTATCTCCCTCTGACTACTTTTTCTCTTTTTCTTCACACGTGATTCTTGCTACATTTGTGTTCTTCTTTCCATTGCTGCTGACACCCACTTCAGTCTGTCATTTATTATAATTTCTGCCTTGTTTTGGCCAGAACTCCTACATCATCCTTTGCTGTTATGTTAGCAACATACTTCCACCTGCCCCCACATCTTTAGCAATTACTAGCAAGAGATTCAGAGGCTGAATAATATATTTCAGCAAGGCTCATTCCTGCTGAGTTTTTTTTTTTTTTTTATTTGCAGAAAAGGGAATATTTCAAAGAAGAAAAGGGCCTCAATCTCTATCTCAGTAAGCATTTAGTAAGCATTTTGACAGTTTTTCCCTTCCTGCTCCCCTCTAGCTCCGCTGGGATCATTTTATGAATGCATTTGAGGGGTTTTTTTCTTTTGTTTTATATAGGGCAAGCCACCTGGCTTCCTTACAAATGTCCAAAACATTTAGGACATATTTTATCCAGTTATCCATTCCAGCAAAACAAGTATCTATCTGCCCACTTCAACTGAAGTCAAGAGAATTGTATAGCTCAGAGAAAGCTCAAATGGTGGGGTTGCTATGAGGTTTTGGCAACATCACTTTCCTCTAGTAAGTATTTTTGCCAGGAAATACTGTAGTTAGTACCCACAAATGAAAAGAATTGGACTGTAAGGCACCAAGGGACTCAAACCAAAGAATATCCCGGCAACAGAGCCCCAATTTTACCTTATGCCTGCTAAGGAAGCTCTCAAGCAGAAGGACCTATTGGCTTGATACTTGTTTTGCAGCTGTGACATACCACAACAGAAGATTGGGTAGAATGCATCAAAGCTGAGCCAGGGCATGTGATTAGGGCTACTGACAGGAAACTGACTGCCATCATATACTTGTGGGTTTAGGCTTGGTTCTTCAGCCTGGTTAAGTTAATTGCAAGAGTAGCTATACAGAATTTTGTGACATCCTTCACTCTGTTCTTCTCCCCTAGGTTTCCAACTTTTGGAACCTATCTACTTTACTCATCTACAGGTCTGCTCTGGTCTCTCTGACTTTTGACCTAACTTGGTCTAGGCACTTGCTTCTTGCTCTTCCAACTGACTGTGTATGAAGCCTTGACGTGCTACTAATTGATATTGCAAAATGATTATTTTTATTGAGAGCAGCTTTAGAGTGTTCCACTGTTCTTTTTCTCTGTACCAAGTAAGAACTCAGGGTATGTATAGCAGCAATTTTTAATGTAAAATTCATTTATAGCTAGCAAAAAAAAAAAAAAAAGCAGCCCACATTTTTCACATATATGTACTTCAGTTTTTCAGTACCAGTAGAATTTCTTTACTTTTGTTTTGTGCTTTGAGTATAATTAATAGATAATTATCAGATATATAATAAATGCCATTCAAGTGAAATGTTTTATTTTAGATTAAAGAACATAATAGGACAAATTTATGATATATTGCTATCCTTTATTCCTCCCAAATGCTTTCTTATAATTTGTAAAGGAAGCATTTAATTAAAAAAAATTAACACTGTACTCAGCCACTAAAGAGTAGAGTAGAGAAACTTGTCCTAATATGCACTTTGATTATCAGTATTACAAGTCTATCAAGGGGATAAGAGGTCTCTTGTTGCAAATGAAGCAGCAACTGTTAATGTTTGTTGTTTTTGGCCAAACGAACCAAATAAATTGCTGATTGTAGGGTTAGCTCAGAAAATAAAACTGAAGAGGCATCATAAAAATACCACAATTTTTGTGCAATGAATCTTCTTGTTTTTCCCCATTCTCAACTATTTTGCTTCAATATCATGTAAAATGTGGAAAAATTGGAATACAGTACATAACTCTGTCTCGTTATCATGTTTGACTTGTTCTGTCTTCAGTTTTAGTTTTCACCAGATTGTCAAACTGACAAATCAACAAATAAGTTTCTTAAAGTTTATATTTCTATTTATGATCAACTGAAAAGAAACTAGTACATAAAATACTGTCTAAATTATACTTTTATAATTTAGACATGTAGAACGAGATAATTATATGAATAAACCCAAGTATACAAAATGCAGCTTATATTTTTAAAATAGCAAAGTGAACTTAAATCTGGAAAGAATGTACACTTATAAGTACTTCATGTGTTTCTAGTTTTCCTACAACTTTCTTCTTCTTCTTTTTTTTTTAAAGAAAAATCAGAAAAAGTTCTCCCAACTCCTCACCCATGGCTTTAAAATCTCCAAAACTATTTATATATCTGTACTTCTCATTTAAGATACCCAACAGTATTTAAAAATTAATAGATGAAAACTTGACTCCTCCCTTTCTGTTGACTCCTCCCAATAGTGCAGGCTAGGATGGGCAAGTCCTGTTTCCACTGAGACTAATTGGATACTGACTGAATTTCATATTGAAACAAACGTAAAACAAAAAGCTAACGTGAAAATAAAAATGAGATTATTCTAAAATAATTTTCAAATTATTCTAGTTAAGTGGGCATATTCTGAACAACAAATTGACTAGCAAGACTGCAGGATCTTCAGACTATGGGAGAAAGCTGGCTTCTGCCTTTGCTGGAAAAGCCAAGACTGCTTAGCAACTCAGTTTCCCTTCAGTACCACATAGGTTATATACGGTACTTAAAAGTCTGTGAACCCTTTTTGGATTATTTTTCTTGATACATGAATGAATATTTTTTTTGATTTATTTGTTTCACTGGGTTCTCTTCATCTAGTTGTAGGAATACACTTCATCTTGAGTGGAATACATTATGTTTTAGGTCATATGCAGCAGTATTGAAAATTCAAAAGAGTTCACAAACTTTTAACCACCAATGCTTTGGGGGCAGGTAATAAACATAACTAAAAACAGATCATTGAAAAACAAGAGTTTAATTTTAAATCTAGTGTAATATATTAGTAATTAGAACAGTTGATAAAGACATTCTAGAGTTCATTTACATCTTCACATTTGGGGAATGGATGGTTGGGTTGTACATTATGCAAGGCTCCCAAAAATAAGGGGGGGGGGAAGCAACATATAAAGCTTTTATTTCTATATTAATTCATTTTGGAGCATGCAAAAATACATAGCATTCAAACAGATATTGTCCGTGATATATAATGGGACAGTAACTTTGATCACTTGTTCAACTAATAAAGACACATCAATTTCTTTTAAAATGGAGTGGGGTGGGGAAGGGAACAAGGGAATATTTTAAATTAACATGCACCTGCTCTTGCAATTGGTTCCTGGCCTGATTTTTGCATTATTCCCTGTGGTAGATTAATATTTGATTGCAAAGTTGAAGACCTTCAGATGTGATCATCCGTGTTTTGCCAATAATTGAGTATCAAAATTATTGTGCTTTAAAATCTGTATAAAAATAGATGAAGACAGATGTTGTGTTCCTTGATTAACAATCAGATTTTATTAGATATTTCAAAAGCTGTAAAAAGGTAAATTACTTTGTCCTAATGTTCCTGGAATAACGATATCATGAATTGAACCAAGAATGAATGAATTTGGAAAGGTTGTACAAATTTGGAGAACGTAGAAATCATACATAAGCATTTCATTCTTACGTTGTTAGAAATGTTGCAGGGTAAAAAGAATGCTATTTTAGCCATTTGTGAAAATTTGAATTATAATTATACATATTCTGTTGATTTTTGTATGTCATATAATCCATGTCCATGCGCGCCCCAATTAGAAATCATGGAATACATTCCAAGCCCTCTTGATGCAACAGTAACTCTTCCTCTTGTTATCTGTACCTGGGGCAGCCAAAGTGGGTAAATTGTTTCTGAGCCTGACTAAGCCATTCTGTTGATAGGTTGCTTGAAGTTTTGAGCTTTTTGTCATTAACAATGTGACAGACCAGACCATAAAACTTCATCTTTTGAATCTCCCTCCCCCACCCTCTCTCTCCCTCTCTCTCTCCCTCTCTCTCTCTCTCTCTCTCTCTCTCTCTCTCTCTCTCTCTCTCTCTCTCTCTTTTCAGATCGTTATTGTGTTATAGGAAAACATTGAGAGGGGGGGGGGAATACCTCAAGGTTCCTACTTTTCCAGTCTTCATGGCATTTAGTAATACAAGTTACAGCCATATCTTACAGAAACAAAAATCTTGCAGGAGAAGTATGAAGCACTTCCTCTCTTTTATTCCCATCCTATGGCCAATTTTCTCCCCAGTTGGAATAACTTGTGGGAGGAGACCGTAACATTTCATTTCTGTTCTTCCTGCAGGCCTTTTCTGCTGTCATTTCACCCTACACTCTGCTCTTTTCCATTGAAATAAAAAGGAATTTGGCAATCACATTGTTTGTCTCTAAATCCTTTTTACTCCCACTGCTTGATCAGAAACTCAGGATGCAAGGACTCAATTTTTTTTTAAGCCAGAATGCCATTTTCCAACTTATGGGCAGTTGTCCATTCTTTTGATCAGCTATAAAAGCCAGACAGCAATTGAAAGCAATTTTTAATACAGCTAAGAGATTCATTTTAACTTGCAAATAAACACACAAGGTATTCATTGAAAATGTCTTGAAGACAATGTCAAGGTCTTTGATACATTTCTGTTCTGATATTTTTAATAGTCTTTATTATATAAAGTATAGACAATTATATATACTTAACGTTCCTGTTTAATAAACAGAACTGTCACAATGCTTCTACATTTCTTAAATGACATAATAAGATTTCCAAATGTGGAATAGTTATATTTCTTGGTGGCAAAAAAACCCTTTTCTTAAATTAATTCAGATAAAATATGATTAAAGCTGTTATTATCTGGTGTTAATGATGGTGAAAATTTGTCAATAATAGTTGGTAGTAATATATATTGTATAGTACATTTAATATACTTATATGTACGTGTGTGTGTATTTATCATAGATTCTAATCCATTAAATAAATCTAATGTAAACCAATAGTGGATCAATGGTAGAAACATCAACTGAGAAAAATTGGGGAACTAATGCAAACTATTTTATTATTTCATTCTATTATTTTATTTTATTATTTTATTCAGCCAGGACACTGCCTAACTCTGGGTGACTCGCAGCCTAAAGACAAATATACAAAAGCGTCTTGATATAACCAATATTGGCAGCAAAACAAATACGCCATATACCTACAAGAGTCTCCAAATACCACAATCCAATACTTGTCCTTCAATGCCATGTCTATTAAGATATATGTCTTTTCCAATAGATTAATGGTTTGACGTATTTTATTTTACCAAATCCATATTTATCTTCTTCAAAAACTAAATCATTAATCTGAAGATCACAGCTAATTTGGGTGTCTGTTTCTCTACTTTTAAAAAATATTATCTTTAAGAAGAAATAGAAGCCATCTCCCCAATATATTTTCAGTGAAAATATACTACTCTTTGATCTGAGCTGATGAACTAATGAAAACACAGGGGCACATACACACTGATATACACAGAGCTAATGAACATTAAACCTTTCTGGAAATAGATATTTGATTTAGGAAATAGCAACATTGTTGGGGTTATTTAATAATAGCATTGTCCATACCATTTATAACTTGAAATATGATGCTCAAGACTTCACTTGCAACATTTCTGATAAACTATATTCCCTGGATAGGCTGAGGATGCTCTTATTCTTTACAATCTTCCAATTCAATAAGCCAGATCAAAGGTAAATTATCTGAGGGGAATCTCCAATTTCTCTGCTGTATTTGCCAAACACTTTTTTAAAAAAGCTTCCACTTTAGTAGATAAAAGAGCAGGAATTATAGTTTGGAACTTGAATGGCATACAGAACAAATACTTTGGAGAAGAAACAGTCTTTTCACTAAATATATATGTGTGCATGCATAGGCTTGTGTTGGAGTGAGATACTTTCATGTAATTGTCAGTCGAGAGTGTGCTTTTTCCTTCTCTGATTTTATTCCTCAGCAGTGAAAGTTCTTGCTTAATAGTGCCTCAAATCTGCCACATTCAGAACATTGTTACAATCTTCATATACAATGTTTAAAAAAATTAAATATGAAAAAAAAAATAAAACGTTGCAAGGTAAAAAAAATATTACCATGCTCATTGACCACAGATTATTTCAGTTCAGGTGATAAAATTAAGAATACCATGGCAGTATTATCCTTAAGAAATAGATCACTAAACTTGTGGTTAATATGTATCCTCAACCCCTGCTATTAAAGGAACCTCTTAACAGGTTAACAACATCACCTGTATTAACAGCTGATGAAATTGTTCATTCATGACTTGAGATGTTGGCTACATTTACTGAGCTCAGGTTTGGAAATCAACTTAAAAGCCTAAATCATATTTGCCTTAATATTACAGACAGAATTTAGAATTTAGATTCTTCTAAACTACAAATGAAAATCTGAATAAGATTTCTTGATAGAACTTCAAAAGCATATTATGTTCAAATGGAGAAATTTCTTCAATAAGCTTTCATAGGCCTAGACCCATGATGGTGAACCTCTGGCACGCGTGCCAGAGGTGGCACGCAGAGCCCTCTCGGCTGGCACATGCGCCGTTGCCCCAGGTCAGATCTCCGTGGCAATTCTTTCGTGAGCTTCTGTTTCAAAACAGGTCACAAAAGAAAAAGATCTTACCTGTTGCTGCGCTACCGGTATTGGGATGCCCCGCCTCCCGCCGGCCAGCTAGTCTTCAGGTCTCTGCTGTGCATGTGTGCATGTCAGCGTGTTTGCGCATGCATGTCCGCGTGTTTGCATGCGCACACATACCTTTCAGTTTGGGCATGCACGCGCAGTTTGGGCACTCGGTGTCTAAAAGATTCACCATCACGGATCTATACACTGTCCCATGAGTAGTCTGTTATAGCTTGTTGCTTTTGAACTTGACCCCATCTACATGACCTTTTCCTACGAAAAGACAACAGGGTTAAAAATATAGATCTACATAAGATTTTAGCATTAATATTTTGCAAAAGAGAAATCTCTATTATGGCAATGTTTCCTTTTACTGAAAAACAAAACACTTTTTTTAAGAAAAAAAAGTGCACGTCAATTTCTTTTCAAGATCATTAAGTAACAAATCACGTCTTTTCAGAACCGAACATCTCTTTGACTTTAGGTCAGTGGTTATAATGAGACACTGATTTGGACAAAGTAGCAGAAGCTGATGAAGAGAACGTACTGACCTTAGTTTTTTAGAAAACAATGTGCCCAGGGTTGTCTATTTTTAATGTATATATGTATTGTTCTGTTCCATTGAGGCAGATTTGGAAATCAAACTAGAAACTTCAGACTCTACTATGATGGAAAACACTTTGTTGGAGAGAAACGTTTTGAGTCTATCCACGACCTGGTGACAGATGGATTGATCACCCTTTATATTGAAACCAAGGCAGCGGAATACATTGCCAAGATGACCATAAATCCAATTTATGAACACATAGGATATACAACTTTAAACAGGGAGCCAGCAAACAAGAAGCATCCTGTGGCTGTGAGAGATATAGTTGATGGCAAAGATTCTGCGGGAGACAATGACATAGTAGAAAAAAGAGTAAGTAATTCATTTAAAGTTATACTTTTCCAAGTCTTAAAAATATTTCATCATTTAATTCATCTGCCTTGAAAGACAGTAAATTCTACTGCAGGTTACTGAGGATGAAAGATATACATATGTAATCAGATGATAAATAGAATGAAAAAAAAATTCATTCTGACGGCTGCTTTTTTAATCACAAAAGCTACAGTTTCCTGATTCTTCTTTGCCCTTTAATACTGTTTTATTAAAAGCATAGGATATTGACAAAAACTGACTTTAATAATACTACTTATTAAAAATAGTAGAAGTAAAGGTGTCCAATATCATGAAGGAAAACTAATACTGCTACCCTGTTTCCCTGAAAATAAGACATCTCCTGATAATAAGCTCAATCGGGCTTTTGAGCGCAGGCGCTAAAATAAGCCTCCCCCCAAAAATAAGCCCTCCCTGAAAATATTTAAATGCATAGCTGGAAATCAGGTAAGACCGCAAGAGGAGCCCCATCTTGCTCCATGTGCCCCAAAATAATAAGACATCCCCGAAAATAAAGCCAAGCGCTTATTTCGGGGTTCAAAAAAATATAAGACAAGGAAACATGGTATTTGTTTGCCATCAAAGAACAGTAGATCCAATAAGATGGTGTTTCAAACCAAGAATTTTTAGAAGCAAAATGCAAATACAGGTACTGTAGTTTTTGACTTAACGACCATAATGGTGTCTGCTCATTACCGTAGTGAGCCGTGATGGTCATAAAGCAGGTCATGACATGATTGACCCAGTTTTATGACTTTTTGCCGCAGTTGTTAAATAAATCACCATCGTTATTAAATGAATTCTCAGTTGTTAAGCAAACCCATTGTGTCTGCTATGGGGCATTTTTGGCAAAAATGTCAGAAATTGTGATCATGTGACTGTGGGACTCTGCAAACAGCTGTCATTACAGGCTGGTTGCTGAGCACATGAAGTGCTGTCGCACAACTGCAAGGTGGGTGGGGCAGAGCTTCAGAACCAGAGGGAAAAGTATTATGTGTGTTCACCACTTCAAGTTACTTATAAAGTAATAAAAGTGGGATAAAAATCAAATAAATAAGTTCAGATACCTGGTTGACAAGTAGAGACCACTTTCAAGACCAGAAAAAAAGATTAAGTTAAAGTGCCAGTTTGCAGTTCAACACTTCTTTCTTTTCATTCTGTTTCCAATTCAATGAAACACCCAGAGGTTGCCTCCTACAGCACACAGAATAAAAAGTGTTAAACGATTAAAAGTCAAGTGAAAACAAAGCATTTTTACTACTCTACTAAAAGGGGAACAGGACCAGAGCAGTTCCCCCTGAAAAAAATGGCTTACATCATGGACCAGGAAAAAGCTCTTGTGCGCTGGATATCTGAATACCTTCATAATTGGAAAGGTGATCCTTCAGAATCATGCAGATGTAATTATTCAGCTATTTTTTTAACATAAAAGGAGATAAGCTTAGCTAGCAGATCTATGGGGGTGGCCAAAATTTCCTTTCACATGGAATTTTGCGCTGCAGAGGTGGTGCTGACACAGTGTGCATCATTGAGATGATTTGTCACACACACACACACACACACACACACACACACACACACACACACACTGAGGGGAGGGAGGGAGAGAGAGAGACAGATAGAGTCTTAGTTATTTCTCTGGTACTTCCAGGAACAAAGCAAATGCTTTGGAAACGTTGGAGCAAAGTGTTTGTAGGAAGCTGTTGCAGGTCCTCCTTGTTGTAGAGATCTTGCCCTTTATTTTTCTTTTGTTCTACTACTACCACCGCTAAATCTCTTTGATGGTTTAGACATCTGCCTAATGAGGGAGGTATAGATAACACGGATATTTTTATTAAATAACTTTTTAAAATATGTTTTAAAGCAAATTTGCTTATTTCTGCAAATTATCTACATTCTCTCAACACTTGTCTACTTTGGGCCTAAAAATATTGCTCCTTGACAAAGGGGCATAACTTGGGAGGGGAAGCCCAAGTGCTGCCTTCTTTTGACTAGCAGTTCCAGCATCCAAATATCACAAAAACAAGGCCGCATAATATTTTTCCTTCAGTCTTTAGAAGCAGGAGGCATGTTGCTTTGCCAGCTGCTTCAAAGGGATGTCTCAGTCAAAGCTTTGCTGAAGTGAAGACTCTGTCAAAGCTCTGCCCAGCCCTGTTAGCTAATTACGAGGCACCCTTATCTTTGAAGCTACTTATATTCCATCTCTGCAGCACCTTGCAGTCTAATCAGCCTTGCGCTGTTTGTCAGCTGCTTCAAGAGAAAATCTGTTTCATCAAACGGGGCTTTGGTTGGGTGGGGGGGGAGGATGAAGCTGATGATCTGATCAGGTATTTTTTTGTGTGTGTCCCTGTTTAGCATAGTGCTGACTCCTAGGAAAAGTCAGCCTTGGATCTGGATTCATGCAGAGTTTAATCTGGCTGGTTCTTATTCAGAGAAATAAGGACAAAAGGGATGCTGCCACTTAAGAAGGAAAAAAATATTCAAAAAGAAGAAAAAAAATATCTTTCTGATATCACTTGTTTTGATATCTTTCTGATATCACTTGTTTTGCAAGACTAAAGTCAGAATAGAGTGGGATGGGGTGAGAAGCAGTTGTCCAAATCTGATTTGTTACAAAAACATAGAGCATGGGTCCTCAAACTACAGCCCGTGGGCCGCATTCAAAGCCATTAATCTGGATCATGAGGCTGCCCCGCCCACATCACCCTGCCCACCTTTCGGCAAAGTGCAGGACTTACCTTCGTTAGCCCCGCTGGCTGGAACTGAAAGGTAAGGCCAACAATTTTGGCCTGCAGAGACATTCTGGAGGCAGGGGAGGTGAAAAACGGGGTGCACAGACACCCCAGGAGGCCAAAAAACGGGCGAAAACTACCTGTTTTTCACCTCCCCCACCTCCAGAAGATAGATAAAGAGAGATAGATAGACAGAAAGAGAGAGAGAGAGAAAGAGAAGGAGAAACAGAAAAAGAGAGATGTAAAGAGAGAGAGAGAAGAGAGAGAGAGACAGATTTCTCAAGCTCCTTGGGGCTGAGAGGAATTGCTGCAAAACTGAGTTTTCTGAAGTGGACCACTAGACTTCTAAACAACTGAAAAAATGATCTAGTAAAAGTCAACCAAAAGAGCAACATGCAAACAAAAGCAAATAAAACACCCCCATGAGCAAAACAAATTAAAGTTTAATTTGTGTGCATTGTTTAATGGACTATTAAATTGGCCATGCCCACCTAGTCACATGACCTAGCCATGCCCACCCAGCTTGTCCGGCCACCCAACAGTCTGAGGGACCATGAATTGGCCCCCTGTTTAAAAAGTTTGAGGACCCCTGGCATAGAGTTTTCAAATAGAACCAGAGTGCTGGAGTAGGAAAGGCCAAATTCAATTCTCATTCATACTCTTTGCCTTTAAAAGCAGTGCCCTATTGCATGACCCTTCAACAGGATACCTTCTGTACATACATAGTTTCCCAATATAATTTCAAACTCTTTGGGACCAAATTACTTGATCCATTAATTACCTATCAGATATCCGTAAGAGCCGAATGTTTTCACTCCTCCATCAGGTAAGGGTATTTAAGAGCCTATCAACATGTTACACGGGCTCTCACCTGATCCCCTTGAAATTCGAGCATAGAGATAATTATTTGAGAGAAGGAAGTGGCCATTTCATATTGATATCCCAATAGGCATGACGGTTCGTGCAGTTGCTTCTTACACCATGTATCTAGGCAACATATTATTGACATGAACTGCATCAGTTTCCCATATTACAGGAAGGGTTCTTTTCAGAGCATATGACCTTCTGCATTCCCACAAGGCAATAGAATCTGTCTATGGAAGACAATCATTGACTTTCTGTTTGTAAAAAATAATAGGACATAATCCTTCAGCATGTTGGTTGGATATCATTTAAAACAACAACTGTTGGCAAAACTAGGTCATTTCATTGCAGAATGAAGATGACAGTGTAGTAACAATTTCATACAACACAGAATGGATAATTTTATGCATTTATTTGGGGAAGACCAGCCACTCACTAGCAAAGGATAAATTGACTGATTAAATATAAAGATTCAAGAACAAAACAGATTATTTTACCTAAACCATTTTAATTACAATACAAATATGTTGTCCTAGTGAAGGTCATTTATATGCTTTTGAAAAACACTACAAAAATTTGATATGGGTGAAGCATCTTCACAGGAAAGGATGATGTTTGATTTGTTAAATTTCATGGCATTTTTTAATAATAAGTCCAATTCCCATCTTTAATTTGTAGCAGTTCACATTGGTGGACATTACTGTGGTCCGCAACTTTTCTTGATTTCTGAACATTCAAGATGATTGTGTTAAAATTGCCATGTTATATAGGTGTAATAAGGAACATTTTCAATTTGAATGAAATATTAATTTTTCAGACTTGCACTGAGTCTAGATTGAATTACTGCTCTAGGCATACATACATAAAGCACTAATTGCTGCATTTCTATTTCTAAAGTCCAAAAACCTCTCCCATCTCATATCATCTTCAATTTCTGAAATTATCGCACACAAATAGAACAGAAACTGTTCACTTTTATTGTTTCAAACTAATGGTTTCACAGATACATACATATATACATACATACATACATACATACATACATACATACACACACACACACACACACACACACACACACACACACACCAGGGGTGGGTTCTACTTACCTTTACTACCGGTTCGCAACGGGGCCGCGTGTGTGCACTTCTGCGCATGCGCAGAAGCGTTCTGATGATGTCAGTGGGCGGAGCCTCCCACCGGTTTTACTACCATTTCTATAGAACTGGTGCGAACCAGGGGCAGCCCACCACTCTCACAC